TCTACTTAAATTTTCAAGCAGCTACTATGTCCTTCTTTCTGGCATTCCCTTCCTCGGTGCTGTGAACGCCCAACCCATTCACAGAAGCCCAAACAAACCCTGCTGATGTGTCCCACTGCCTCTCCAATCTTTGACTTTCCTCCACCACTCTCCTAGGTCAGCACTTAGGACCACCTCAATTGTTTCAACAACCTATCTCTCCTCTCTTTTTCTGAACAATCTTCCTAAAACAAAGAACTACTGAATAAAGCCCCAAATTCTTAGGATGGCATTTAAAAAAAAAAAAACAGGCCCTAGCCAATGTGACTCAGTGATTACAGTGCCAGCCCATGCACCAATCGATGTCTCTTCTCTCACATGGATGTTTCTCTCTTTCTCTCTCTCTCTCTCTCTCTCCCTTCCCTCCCTCCCACTCTCTCTAAAAATCAATGGAAAAATATATCAAATAACAAAAAAATTTTCTAGGACCCAAGTATACATAATCTCAACTTCTATGAAATCTTTCATTCATGCCCACTATCTCTCTGACTCTATTCCTTCACTCAGAAACCCTCCTTGATTTTCCAAATTCCTCCCACCCTTCAAGACCCAACCCTAACCCCTCCTTTCTCAAAGCTTGCCTGTGCTCTTTTTAAAGCTTTTTTAAAAAAAATTGATTCTAGAAAGAGGAAAAGGGAGAGGAACAATTTCAATAGATTGCCTCCTGAATGCATCACAACTGGGGATCGAACCTGCCACTTTTTTGGGGGGGGGGGGGGGTGGGAACATCGATCAGCTGCCTCCTGCACACCCCCTCCTGGGGATGTGCCCGCAACCAAGGTACATGCCCTTGACTGGAATCGAACCTTGGACCCTTCAGTCTGCAGGCTGACACCCTATCCACTGAGCCAAACTAGTTAGGGCAAACCTGCCACTTTTTGGTGTTCAGGACATTCCAATCAACTGAGCCACCAGCCACGGCTTTCCTGTGCTTTTCTCTTCACAATTCAGGTGGTCCCATGACTCCCCAGTGCACAGCCCACACTCAGCCTTGTGTTTAACCAGTCCATATCTTTTAGCAGCTAATTAACCATGACAGGGACTATTTTATTTTCAAACTCCACAGCAGCCTGTACAACAAGCATGTCAAACTCACGGCCCACGAATATTTTTGCAGCCCAACCAATATAATGGTAAGATGCATTTTAATAAAAATTTCATAATTTAATTTTTACAATATCCTGTTATACATAATCCTATATAATAAAAGGCTAATATGCAAATTGACTGAACAGCAGAACAGCTGATCACTGTAACACACACTGACCACCAGGGGGAGCACCTCTCAGCCAGAAGCCTGGCTCAAGACTGGCAAGTGCAGCAATGGTGGCGGGAGCCTCTCCCACCTCCGCAGCAGTGCTAAGGATATCCAACTGATGACTTAGCCCTGCTCCCCGAGGGCTCCTGGACTGCGAGAGGGTGCAGGCCAGGCTGAAGGACTCCCCCTGCCCCAGAGTGCATGAATTGCGTGTACTTGGCCTCTAGTTATTAATAACGAACTACAACATTCTCTAATGACTACTATAATTGTGTTGCGTTCATTTCCCTTACGCGCCTTACACACAGGTGCACCATTTCTTTCCACTAATACTAGCAGCGAGTATTTTAGCAGCCGATTGCCACGTCATTAGTCTTCGACTATTTGTTTGTGTGTGCAATAGGAAATACTTTGCTTTCAGAGAACAAGAAAAATAGGTTTATTTGCATTAGGCTTATTAATTTGTGCAGTAATTCAGTGTCTGGTAAGTTAATGTTCAAGAAAAAAATTAATTTGTATTAAAAAGTTCTATTATTGCCCTAACTGGTTTGGCTCAGTGGATAGAGCGTTGGCCTGCAGACTGCAGGGTCCCAGGTTTGACTCTGGTCAAGGGCATGTACCTTGGTTGCAGGCACATGTCTGGTAAGTTAATGTTCAAGAAAAAATATTAATTTTTATTAAAATGTTCTATTAGTTTGTGTTAATGATTACTCATTTATTTCAGCCCTTTGTATTCAGCATGTCTCTATGGAAATAAACCTACGTTTCCATGAAAATTGAAGCTTTTTTTTTTATTGCAGCCCACATAAACTTAAATCTTATTTGGCCCTTGTTAGCCTTTGAGTTTGACATGCTTGCCCACCAGGCCCCCCCCCAAGATGGCCACCAGGCCTCCACGATGACTGCTAGTGGCCCAGAAGACCACCCTTCTCCTACCACACAATCAAAGCAGACAGAGAAACTGTATCAGAGGTGCCTGAACCTCTGGCAGTGCAAGAGAATCACAGTAGATAGTTTTGAAATACAAAAAATACCTATTTTGGGGCCTTGCTCTAATCTTATTAACCTAAAAATCACACAGGATGTATAATTTTCAGTTTCCCACGTGACTCTGCTGCACAGCCAGGTGTGGGAAGCAGGCCTGCAGAGCATGAAGACTCTTACCTGATACAACCATCAAAGGAGCCCGGTTTGAAGGGAATGCCCTGGCCCATGTCCCCCAGAAGTAGGTCTCCTTGTGCTTTTCGGTCCAAAGCTGCATCTGCATCGCAGAAGAGCAAGTGAGGGAAACAGACAATATGCATAGCTGCTCCACACTCACGAGGGTAGCCACCCCAGTGCTAAACAGAACATACTTACCCAGCATGGCAAGGCTGATGTCGATGCCCACCCAGTAGTGCCCTTCATCAGAGAGATAATCTCCACTCAGCCCAGTACCGCAGCTGGAAGATACAAACAGGGACTCAACAGTGTGAGTAGCAAAGATGCCCCACAACCTGGGGAATCTGACTAGGCCCTAGGATCTCACCCAATATCCAACAGGAAACAGGGCTTCTCATCAGGCAGATCAAGGAGCTCCAATGCTCGCCCAGTCATCTTGGTCTGCACATCAATCATCCTAGAGCTAGGAAGGCAGAAACACACACAAGTGGTAAGGTTCTGAGTTAAAACTGTACCGAGACCAAAAAAACCCAAGATCTTCTAGGAAAAAAGAACAAGGTGCTCTTTCCTGGTCAACAAACTCAACTACAACTATTTAATATATATATTTTTTATTGATTTCAGAGAAGAAAGGAGAAGGGGAGAGAGAGAGAAACATCAATGATGAGAGAGAATCATTGATCGGCTGCCTCCTACACACCACACCCCCTACTGGGGATCGAGCCCGAAACCCAGGCATGTGCACTGACCAGGAATCGAACCTGGGACCCTGCAGTCTGCAGGCCAATGCTCTATCCATTGAGCCAAACTGAACAGGGCTCAACTATAACTATTTAAAAGTAACCCCAATAACAACGACATGTTATTTTGTTGTGGCACAAATTATAACTGCACCAGATGCAAAGCTAAAGGGAACAAATCACTTAACTAATGACCAACCATTGGGTATTTTCAAATCTATCAGGCTTTGATGTAGTTTTACTTAAGAACAAGTTTTTTGGCTCGGCTGGCGTGACTCAGTGGTTGAGCATCAACCTATGAATCAGGAGGTCATGGGTTCAATTCCCATCAGGGTACATGCCTGGGTTGCAGGCTTGATCCCCAGTGGTGGGCACGCAGGAGGCGGCCGATCAATGATTCTCTCTCATCATTAATGTTTCTCTCTCTCTCTCCCTTCCTCTCTGAAATCAATGAAAAAATATTAAAAAAAAAAGAGAACAAGTTTTCTGGAAGAATTATCCACCATAGTGACTCTCAGATATCAGGATCAAGAATCACAACAAAAATCTACAGCAGTGCTGTCCAGGAGAATCATAATACAAGCCACATGACTTTCCAGTGGGCACAGTTAAAATGAAATTAAATATGTAAAATTGACTAATAATTAACCAAATCCAATGTACCTAATAATTTTAACACGTTAAGCACCCAGCCTGTTTTGTCTTCCGGAGGGAAAGTATAGTGTCAGTCACCAGTGACTGACAGGGCGCTTAACGTGTTAACCCAACATGCTCAAATTATTTCAACACGTAATCAACATAAAAATGATCAATAAAATATTTTATATTTTCTTCATGCTAAGTAATTCAGACACTGACGGCTACTGGTTACCATAGCACAGAATACGTCTATATTATATCTGGCTTTCCCAAGATCAGGTATCTGCGGACTCTTCTACAGGCTGGTTTATCAGAAAGGACAGGTCTGGAAGTCTATTCTAGCCTTCACCTAGTTACAGAAATAACTACCCTCCATGAAATTCAGATACTACACCAACAGCTGTCGAGAGGATTTAGCGAGGTTATGCAAATAAGGGCACCCAGTAAACATTTATGAACATTTCCTTTCCCCCAATAGCATTAACCACTTACACATATCCACTGCCTCCTGCCTATTTTACTACATGTTTAAAACAAGTTGCCACAATAAACTGAAAACCCAGATAAAAATGTATCACTCCCGTATTAATGCTGCGGTAACTGAGGCCCAGAGGGTTCAGAGATTTAACTAAAGCTGACTTTGCCAGTGTAAAAAATGGGATCAACCCAGGTCCCTTCCTCCCACCCCAACCGCCCCAAATTTTTCACGTTCTCCAAGCAATGCCCCAAATGAGGGCAACTTGCGGGTCCCCACCCCCGACGCCGCGCAATAGCCAGGCTCCCTTACTTGCGCATGTATTTCCGGGCTTCATTCTGGTCGTAAAACTGCGGGGAAAGAGAAAGAGAAAAGGGTAGTAAGGGGGAGAAATCGAAACGCCGAGCTTCTTTAAGACAGAAAGGAGGCCGAGGGCCGCAGGGCTCACCAGCTCGGGGGGTCCGCCGTGCTCCGGTCGGCGCCCGCGACACGCCATACCCACCCTTCCACCGCACGACTGCTGCTGCGGGCTCCCGAGTCCGGCGTGTAGAGCATCAGCGCCGCGCCTGCCCCGTAATACGCATGCTCCACTCCTCTCCCCGCCTTCTCTTCTACGCGATTGGCTACCAGGATGACACTCGGCGAACAACGCGGGCCTCCCATTGGCCAGGTGACCTTTGCACCGCCCTCCAGACCCATGCAAGATGGCAGCGCGACACGATCTGAGGTGGCCGCGCTTGTTACTGTGGAGCTTGTGGCGGGGTCGGGGGCCCCCGCAAAGCCGGGTGTCCTGCCACAGCTTAGAAGCGAGGACTTACTCCCGGGGCGACGGCCCGTACTCGCGCACGGCGCTGTATGAGCTGCTCGGCGTCCCGCCCACGGCGACGCAGGCGCAAATCAAGGCCGCCTACTACCGGCAAAGCTTCCTCTACCACCCGGACCGCAACGCGGGGAGCGCCGAGGCCGCCGAGCGCTTCACGCGTATCTCCCAGGCCTACGTGGTGCTGGGCAGCGCCACCCTGCGCCGCAAGTATGACCGCGGCCTGCTCAGCGACATGGACCT